CTTCCACATCAGGGATGCCATTACTTAAATTGCATAAAGTTAAAATAAGCTGTTTAGATTTTTGTGGGTTTTTAAAGTACCTCCCCCAAGAGGGCACTCATTCAAAGGGAGTAATCGTAATTGATTTTGAGCCCTTATTTAATTTCTATAATGTGGAACATTCCAATTCAAAGCTCTCATCAATTATTTACTATGATGATGCCATGAGAGAGAACATCTTAATTGTGGATTAGGTTGGATTACACAAGGAGCTCTTGCGAATGGGATTCCAAGTTATTCATTAAGTCATAGAACTTTGACCTCTAGTGTGCTTAATTACACATCACCCTTTTAATTATCTTAACGTGGTATTTATTATAATCCATCAAATGAATTTCTTATGATTACTTTATTAAGTAGGTTGTAATTGGATGGAGAGCAACAACTGGTCTTATTATGTTTTATTATTTAACATTTAACTGGAAATTTTACTAATTAATGGATGAAAGTGTTTATATCTCTATACTTTATTCACACAAGGAAAAAAAAAAAGCTAAATGTGTCACCTGCTAAGGAGATTTTAGTGTTCAGACAATTATGTCTGTGTGAATGCCTATCAGTATAAGATTGGTTTGCTGTTGCTTTAAAATAAAATAAATAATATTTCAATGCAGGTGTACCCTTCAAAACTATTGTGCTATTGTATGGTTTACCAAAACTTGCTTCTAAATATTCCATACTCTCCAGCTCAAATCATTCCTTGTAATTGATGGTGGTAGTCACGTTTGTAGTCATTAAGAATTTTCAAATGTGGAGTGAAAGATTACAAGGATGCAGTTTAATGAGTTTGAAATTGTACAAAGTCGGCATCTTGAATAGAGTAGTATACATAATGTCTCACCAGAGATTCTTAAAAACAAGCAAGTGTTAGAGTAATGATGAGATAAACCAGGCAGAACGTTTGCAATATATTGAGTATCAAAATGTCCACAGAATATTATCGTTGATTTATACAAACATTTTGCCAAAGTTTGCTAATTATTTTTGTACAGATCTTAAACTATCAAGCATTAATATTCAAAAATTGGTGTATTCAACAGGAGATACTATAAATGAAACTCTATGACACAATTTTAGCTACCCATGATTTGCAACAATGGAACAATTTTATGGAGACCAGAATTAATTCATCATTGCTCTATTTATTTTTTATAGCAGATTTCGTCATTCTTTTGTGTTCAAAGCAAGTCTTTTTATTGTTGATTATCATCTATAGTAGCAAAGTGTAAAATCTTATTTAATGATAGTATTTAATTAATAATAATACTACATAATTCAAATATTATTATATTTAATTATGTAGTATTTTAAATAATTGAAGTCAGATCGTTCTGGTTCTTGTATAACCTTGCAAGAGAGAATTGCAAGAGAGAACTGGCGGTATAGGGGACAATGTATTCATGTTGATACCGGCGCTGCACTCTGACTGTCGAGGGTCCCTATGGACCCAGGCAGTATTTAAAATATTTGGAATTGGACAAAAAAGGAAAATTTTCGTCTTTTCATATCTTTGTATTAAAATTACTATTGATATTTCTGTCTTATAGTTCAGGTCATGTTCATGATAAATTTCTAGGCAGTGTTTACAGTAGGTTCAGCTTGTAGCTTTTTATTGGTTTGTTTTTCTTTTGAAGTTAAAGTGGCTTCCATTCATTTTGGGGACTCCTGACTTGATGACATGTTTATAAATATTTGGTATTAAAGTTACTATCAAATTATGCGATGTTTGTAAATCAATCTGAAATCATTTTGCTTTGAATCGTTATTAATCGGTGTTTAATCCAAACAATAGTAATACTAATAATGATACTATTAGTAATATTACTGGTAGTGAAACTTTAATCATTCACAACAAAGCTGTTGTTTTTTTTATCATGAAGTAACAATAAACACACCAAAATCACAAACAATGTACAAAACCTGAAGAAGTAAGTATTAATACTGAAATTACAGTACTTAGAGACAAAAGATGTCCTGAAATGATTATAACCATAGCTGCTGTAATTCCCCCGGACATCAATAGCTAGCCAAATGATACAAATATTAAGTGCTTTGACTCGGTGGTTGGTTCAGATTGTAGCCACTGACAACTCCTTGCCCTTCCCCCCCC